GTTCGAATTTTTAACTGGTCTAATGATTTTGTGCAGTGTTATGGTCCTTTGACTTCGAAAATTCACTGAAATATTCAGTTTTCCACATTTTTTTTCGTCATGCTTGAAGATATTGACTTGATATTTGTTACATAGTTTACACCATAACAAGTTATAGATCAAGTTAGCATTTTGTTCCAGTACAATGAATTTTAAACCGGTAGAGGACTATGTATTGCCATGCAATACTCTCAGAATGCTTGTTTTTGACCAGTCTCAAATGTTTTGCCACAATGATAGCATTTTGTCTCTTTGAAATAATTTCATGTTTTTGTTCTCAACTTGCCATTTTTGTTGTTAACTTGTTTTCCTGAAAACAAAGGATACATAAGTAAGTCTTGATTTAGGATTAAGGTGTGTGATTCTATTGTTATATATACAATTTCTTCATTCAAATATAGGAGCAGAAAAAATGTTTACTTTCCGTTATATTTTTTTTATAAGTATGTGGTTCCTTCAGTAGTCGGCGTATGGCAGGGCGTTCCAAAGTGGGTCTCATTGGGGTCTTAGCGTCTAAGGGGGGGGTTGGCTGATTTTTTGGTAGGCATGACTCATGAAAGTCAAATTATTGTGCATAAAAACGGGAAACGAAATTGGTGGGACATGTGAAATTACAAGCGTTATTACTACAATGATAAGCGGGATATGGGAATCTAAAAAAATAATAAGCCGGATCCGGGATCAGACCCCTCCAATGAGACCCCCTCCAATGAGACCCTCTCCAAAGTGGGACATAGACATGTTTTCCTACTTGTGAGCCAAGTCAATCTTTTTTCTTTGAGTAATTATATGGAAAAAAATCACTTATATCAAGTACAGTTTATTTAGAACTTGATGTGGGTGTTCTGATTAATACAAAATAAGGAGATGATGGGTAGAACATTGTAATATTTTAAATTCAAATAAAGATTTCTTCTACAACATCATGTTCTGACACATAGCTAATTAATATGACTTGCATTATTGTTTTATGTTGAAGATTCACAATAATAAATGAATGCATTTAATTTAGAATTTACATTAAACTTCAGTGGAAAAAGATGTTATAATATCCTGAACCACTCATTAATATGTAAATTGCAAGAATGATTAATTTAGAAATCCTGTTTGAGAACATTATTTACAAGGACAAAGAATTTTTTTTAAAAGATTTTTGTTTTGTTTTACAAAAATACACAAAGTTTAACTTCGTTTGTTTTTTTACATTTTGAATTATAACAAATTAAACATTGCACACATCATCACTTTTACATTTTTAAACTTTTTTAGTTTGACAAAATTTAGGATGACATATTGGTTGTTGCCTGGGGGCATTTTACATATTTATGACGTGTTAAATGTAGCTTTCATCACACTTCCTTGTGTACATATAAACAAAGACCTTTTTAGATGACGGTACTTAGCCAATTTCTGCCTTTCTCTTGTTATCCCTGATATTTTACTTCTGTATTACAAAGAGCAAACTGCTATATATATTCTTTGAAGGGGCCAGTGTGTTGTTGAAGCAACAACAAAAAACAACAACAACATTAAAATAAAGTTGGGAGTGTGAAAAAAAAATTGATATCATAGTGTCTTTATTTCATTTTTCTGGGGGAAAAAAAGCAATATGTGTGAATTGTCAGGAAATAACAGATTTATTTATAGTTCTCTCTTAAAAGTAGAAAAGCTCATGTATCTTTATTTTCTGCTTTTAAAGGTCAAACAAAAAAAGATTATTTGTTTAGTCAATGTATGTATATTGTTCATGTATGAAAATTGTGGTTTTGCATTTGCACCAATTTTTTTTATGCCCCCGCCGTAGCGGAGGGGGCATAAAGTTTTACCCTTGTCCGTCTGTACGTACGTACGTCCGTCCGTACGTCCCAAAATTGGTTTGCGTTCTATAACTTGAGTTTGCCTCAACCAAATGTTATGAAACTTATACACAATGCTTATTACCAAAAAAACACAGATCAGGTTTGAATTTTGGTGGCGTCACTTTAACCGTTCTAGAGTTATGCCCCTTTATAAATGGAAAAATTGCAAAATTTTTAGTTTCCGTTCTCTAACTTAAGTTTGCCTCAACCAAATGTTATGAAACTTATACACAATGCTTATTACCACAGAACACAGATCAAGTTTGAATTTTGGTGGCATCACTTTAACTGTTCTAGAGTTATGCCCCTTTATAAATGGAAAAATTGCAAAATTTTTAGTTTCCATTCTCTAACTTGAGTTTGCCTCAACCAAATGTTATGAAACTTATACACAATGCTTCTTACCACAAAACACAGATCAAATTTGAATTTTGGTGGCGTCACTTTAACTGTTCTAGAGTTATGCCCCTTTATAAATGGAAAAATTGCTAAATTTTTAGTTTCCGTTCTCCAACTTAAGTTTGCCTCAACCAAATGTTATGAAACTTATACACAATGCTTATTACCACAGAACACAGATCAAGTTTGAATTTTGGTGGCATCACTTTAACTGTTCTAGAGTTATGCCCCTTTATAAATGGAAAAATTGCAAAATTTTTAGTTTCCATTCTCTAACTTGAGTTTGCCTCAACCAAATGTTATGAAACTTATACACAATGCTTCTTACCACAAAACACAGATCAAATTTGAATTTTGGTGGCGTCACTTTAACTGTTCTAGAGTTATGCCCCTTTATAAATGGAAAAATTGCTAAATTTTTAGTTTCCGTTCTCTAACTTAAGTTTGCCTCAACCAAATGTTATGAAACTTATACACAATGCTTATTACCACAAAACACAGATCAAGTTTGAATTTTGGTGGCGTCACTTTAAACGTTCTAGAGTTATGCCCCTTTATAAATGGAAAAATTGCAAAATTTTTAGTTTCCGTTTGCTTTCTTAAGTTTCCCTCAACCAATTGTTATGAAACTTACACACAATGCTTATTACCACAAAACACAGATCAAGTTTGAATTTTGGTGGCGTCACTTTTACCGTTCTAGAGTAATGCCCCTTTATAAATGGAAAAATTGCTAAATTTTTATTTTCTTCTAAATATCAAGTAATTTTTAAAATTGGAGTTATCTTCCTTTGTCCATGATTATAGTTGAATCAACTACAATGAATGCTTTATACAATGCAATGTTTAATTTTGACTTCCACTGATAAAACACAGATCAAGTTTAATTTGGGTAGTGTCACTTTAACCATTATTGAGTTATGCTCCTTTATAAATCGAAAGATTGCAAAATTTTTAGTTTCCATTCTGCAACTTAAGTTGCCCCAACCAAACATTATGAAACCTATACACAATATTCATTACCACAAAACTAAGATCAAGTACAAATTTTTTGTTTCCGTTTTCTAACTTTAGTTTGCCTCAACCAAATGTTATGAAACTTATACACAATGCTTATAATTTTCTATGTTTTCAATGTATTGTGTGCGATTTTGTCCCATGTACATTTACTCAATATCCTTTCATTTTCTATTATTACTACATAATACAGATTAAGGACGAAATTTGGTGGTGACACTTTTACCATGCTTGAGTTATGTCCCTTTATAAACATAAAAATTGCTGAATTTTTCGTTTCTGTTCTCTAACTTTAGTTTGTCTCAACCGAATGTTTTAAAACTTATACTCAACCGTTCTAGAGTTATGCGTGTTTACAAATAGAAAAATTGCTGAATTTTTAGTTTCTGTTCTCTTCTTAATGTTATGAGACTTACACACAATGCTTATTACCACAAAACTCAGATCAAGTTCAAATTTGGGTAGCATCACTTTTACCGTTCTTCAGTCATGTCCCTTAATAACTATTTGATATGCAAGTGGGGGCATCATCTGTGTCCACATGTGGACACTATCCACATTTATTTTCATTTGTGCCAAAAATATTTTGTTCATTTACAAGTTATACAGAATTTATTTATTTACATGTAATAAGAAAAATACCCCTTCCATCTGTCATCTGCTCCCTGTTCACCACAGGGAGGTGGAAGTGGGATTTTCGAGCAGGATAAGTTTATTGTAAAAGTTTTTAAAACTATATACTTTATACGTCACATGGAAAGTAGCACTTTTTAAAATAAAATAGTAACAGTTTGACATCAAGAGCACATTTGAATGTTTCCCACTTTCACTTAACTTCTCCTTGTAATCCATTTTTGAGAATATTTGATTGCCTATAAGAATGTCCATATTACCCCGTTTTTTTCTGTGCAAAAGATTCATCTTATCATAACAAAAGTGTTTAAATCAATTACATTGGGTTAACATAAGTAACTGTAATTATCTAAAATGTATCAGATCTTATCTGTTCAAATTAAATTAACGCAAATGAAAAATTTAATATGTGGCGAAATGAAAACTTTATTTTGGCACAAATGAAAAAAAAAAAAATTCAAAATTAGTGCAAATATCATATGCCCATGAAAGTATGTCAGAGGTCATTGTACGTTAACTAACAATGGAGTAGAAGTAGTGTTTGCCATTCTTGATTCCTACCAATTAAGATTCCAATAACAATGTAAAACTTATTAATTATTCACTAGAGCAGTAGAAACTGCTCTGGCTATATTTTATAAAACCATTGATTATTACCTACAAATAAAACACATTAAAATTGACTTGGAATTAGAAATCAAGCAAGGACCAAGTTTATACCTCCAGACCTCCAGGGTATTCAGATATTCAATCTGATTGTCATTGGAAACTTTTATATCCTAAGGAATTTCTCAGGATGTTGATAGAAACTTGCAATTAAAATATTGTTATAATCTTCAATTTCTTGTCACTATTTATTATTTCAGCCTTTAACATATATATAAGCATATATATATACATATATCCATCTTGTTTTTTTTTTTACGTTAAACAAATCTTTACTATGTATGAGAAAATGTTTATTTTATTCATTTCAGATATCAGATTTGTCTGTATACATGGTATATGTCTGTATGTATGATATTTGTAAAATGTTTATTTTATTCATTTCAGTCTTCAGAATTGTCTGTATTTGAAACAAACATTAGATTTGTTGGAGGATTACTAGCTCTGTATGCCTTAACTGGTGATAAGGTAAGGGGACAAAACTCTTGCATCAGACCTTATTTACAGCATTGATAACATTCTTCTTGAGATTCTTGAAATGTGGTTCAGTTGACTGTATACAAAATATAAGATTGTAATGACATATGCAGATGTTTTATATGAACTTGGTAGCAAAAAAGAGGGGGGAGATATAAAAGGGATAATAACATTTCAGAAGTCAAAGATAAACAACAAAACTATGACAAAAAACATGAAATAACAAAAAGATAATCACTTTGCAAAACACTACATAGAAAACTTTAGACTGAGCAAGACAATCACATACAGACAGGTATTAAGGCAACTTTCAATAGATATCTGTGGACACAATGTGTTGTTGCTCCATCCAGCATCTATAATGAAGGGGTGGGTGGGGCTTGATAAAAGGAATGTTATACATTAAGGGTATTCATATATTTGAACGTTGTTTTCAATTTAGACTTGTAAAAATATATATGTATACATAATTACTCTAAATATCAGCACAACAATGTTAAATCTGCAAATTTGTGGAAGCAAATTTTTGTTCTTCCCTCGCCAGGATTCATTTGAACTCATGCTATAAGAATATCGTAACAACACAGCCTGCACTCTGTCCAGCGCTCTAGACCACTCTGCCACCTAGACTGAACTAAAAATTCAGCTTTTGGTGGCCTAGTGTTACCTTTCCTCGTCAGTAGAATCTAGTGTTGTAACACAGTACATGATATATATTAGGCATGAAGATGGACTGACACAACTTAAATGAAGTTTTAACATTACTGAGAAATTTCTAGAGTTTCTGTTCTGTAAAATATAGGAGCTATATAAATATGATGCATGTACTAAATCTGATTCTTTTAGCCTTAAGGAAACATGCACCTTGCAAAAAATTCATGTACTGTAAATTCAGAAAAATATTGCAAGGTTTTTAATAATGGGACTAATGTGATTGAGTAAGTATAGCAATAAGAAGTCACATTCTGATATCAGATACCAGTACAAATATATCTGTATGAAGCTTTTCCTGAATTGGCAATAATAATAATCCCACAATTTTGTTCCATCTTCAGAAATCTTATAAATGCACTCTGAATTTCTGAATTTACAGTATAAAATTTTCAATTTATTGACTGCTATCTAAAAAATATTATTAACAGTGTGAAATTCATTAGGCATAGAAGTAAAAAAGCTCTTATAAGACTTTTGCAGAAGCTTTGTTTGTAATTATTTTATTTAAAGACATTAAAAGGAATAAATAAGCATTATTTGTATTTTTCAGATGTATAAAGAGAAAGTTGTTAAAATAGCAGATAAATTATTGCCAGCATTTAATACGCCATCAGGAATACCCAACTCCATGGTGAATGTCAGAACGTAAGTCATTAGGATTATGATATTCAGGAGATCCAATCAAATGCACAGTGGATCCTTATTTTAATGTGTTAAAAGTTTCAGTAATTCAGTTCTAATAACTAAAAATTGCACCTTATGGTTTATTAGCTCATCTGGCTTATAGCTCAAAAACTAAAGCCATTAGAGAAAAACTGATGAGGTCTATTTATTGTAAAAAATTTCAGAAACACTGACAACCCATTTTGGAGTTATTGTAGGGACTGTGTATGATTTTTTTCATGATTGCAGTATACCTAAACTAGACATCATTTGAAAAGATTAATTGAAGCAAAACTGAAAAAATAATTTTGACAGGAAAAAATGTGATTAAGATAGCTTAGGATGAGTTATTCTGACTAGTGACACCTTTTTACATGACCAAATTGAAGCATGGTCAGATATTCCATCATATTTTACATGGCAAATATCCTTAAACATTGATTTTAAATCACATAAATCTCTAACAAACAAATTAATATACTTCTGTTAGAAATGGAAAACCGTGGCCTCTGATGATGACTGACAACTTGAATAAGATGAGGGATGTAAGGGAAAATATTGTAAATTGGACTTGTTGTTTAAAAGCATAAAAGTAGTTCTTTACATGTTAATGTAGCTTTACATTGAACATGCACTGGCTAAATATTCTTTATATTAGGCCTTTACGACCATTTATGATTGCTGTAATTTGTTTTATGGCATGAATTTGATTCTAATACTTGCAACTGGACAACTATCATGAATCAATAATATAGAAGTAATGGTAATATGAACAGGATAAAATTCGGGTAGACAGAGGAAATTTATTTCACTTATGATGCTTTTTAAAGAAAACAGTAAAGTTATGATATAAAAACAATCGTGAATCCAAATTGCGATATAAAAACAATCCTGAAGTCCAAGAAATTGAAGAACTAGCTACATAAAACCATTACTTGTCAATGTCTTTTACTATCTAGCTTCTTTAATGTATAAGTCTTGTAATGAAGAAATGATATCACCATAAAAGACCTAAATTCTACTGCTATCATATTGCTGTACTGTAATCTATCCATTGTTCTGTATGAGGCCAGAACAGTGACTTTTATTGAGGCAACAAGATTAAACCATGACAGAGTGTTGTATTCTGTGTTGATTTTTCTTAAATGAAAACTATGACAGGTTTTATTTATCTATTTATTATTTTTATTCCTGTTTTTTTAATGTGATTGTAAGGGGATGTGTAGTAAACATATATGAGACATCAACCCAACGACACAAAGAAAAATTTTAGAGTAAGAATTCAACTAAATCAAGTTCTACAAAATGTAAACAAAGGGAAAAAAAAAGATAAATTTAAAATGTGTTTATTTTGTATAAAGAAAACACAATTTGTATGTATTCTTCTTATGGAATTAGCATTTTTTTTTACCTTTCTCTCATGTTATTTTTATACGACCGCAAAAATTGAAAATTTTTTGGTCGTATATTGGTATGACGTTGGCGGCGTCGTCGTCGTCGTCGTCGTCGTCGTCGTCGTCGTCGTCGTCGTCGTCGTCTGGCGTCGTCCGAAGACACATTGGTTTTCGCACTCTAACTTTAGTTTAAGTGAATGGATCTCCATGAAATTTTACCATAAGGTTCAATACCATGAAAGGAAGGTTGGGATTGATTTTGGGGGTTATGGTACCAACAGTTAAGGAATTAGGGGCCAAAAAGGGGCCAAAAATAAGCATTTTTGTAACTTCCAGACAATAACTTGTGTGTAAGTGTATGGATCTCTCTGACATTGTACCACAAGGTTCCATATCACAAAGGGAGGCTGTAATTGATTTTGGGGGTAATTGCCTCAAAATTTTAGGAATTAGGGGCCAAAAAAGGGGCAAAAAACAAGCATTTTTCTAGTTTCATGACAATAACTTGTGTGTAAGTGTTTGGAAATGTCTGAAATTGTACTACAAGGTTCCATATCACAAAGGGAAAGCTGGAATTGAGTTTGTGGGTAATTGCCCGAAACGTTTAGGAATAGGGGGCCAAAAAGGGACCAAAAATAAGCATTTTTCTAGTTTCCAGACAATAACTTGTGTTCAAGTGTATGGATCTCTCTGAAATTGTACTGCAAGGTACCATACCACAAAGGGAAGGCTGGGATTGAGTTTGGGGGTGATGAATCATAAGGGGGTTCAAAAAATTTGGGGGGGGGGGATTTTTTTTTTCTTCTTTTTTTCCTTTTTTTTTTCTTTTAAAATTTTCCATTTTAAGTTGGTTATTTCTGATTAATATTTAAAAGCAAATAATAATGATATGGTAGGAGATACACACCAAACAGGATGTGTAAATTATTATATAATAAGTATTGTGCAATAGCAAGAAATTTTCAATTGCACAGTATTGCACAATTGCAAGAAATCTTCAATTGCACAGTATTGCGCAATAGCAAGAAATCTTCAATTGCACAGTATTGCGCAATAGCAAGAAATATCCAATAGCACAATATTGCGCAATAGCAAGAAATTGTCAATTGTACAGTATTGCACAATAGCAAGAAATATTCAATTGCACAGTATTGTGCAAAAGAAGATACTTCTTATAAATTGCTTATTTCTTGATCAATTTCAATGGGGTTTTATTCTTGAATTCTTGGGGTTCTTTAATATGCTGAATCTAACCGTGTATTAAGTTTTTGGATTTTGGGCCCCGTTTTTAAATTGGTCCACACTGAGGTCCAAAGGGTCCAAAATTTAACTTTGTTTGATTTCATCAAAAATTGAATTATTGGGGTTCTTTGATATGCCGAATCTAACCGTGTATTTAGATTCTTAATTTTTGGTTCCGTTTTCAAATTGGTCTACATTAAGGTCAAAAGGGTCCAAAATTAAACTTAGTTTGATTTTAACAAAAATTGAATTTATAGGGTTCTTTGATATGCTGAATCTAAAAATGTATTTAGATTTTTGATTATGGGCCCAGTTTTCAAGTTGGTCCAAATCGGGGTCCAAAATTAAACTTTGTTTGATTTCAACAAAAATTGAATATATGGGGTTCTTTGATATGCTGAATCTAACCATGTATTTAGATTTTTGATTTTTGGGCCCCGTTATCAACTTTGTCCACATTGAGGTCAAAAGGGTCCAAAATTAAACTTTGTTTGATTTCATCAAAAATTGAATTCTTGGGGTTCTTTGATATGCTGAATCTAACCATGTATTTAGATTTTTTATTTGTGGACCCGCTATCAAATTGGTTCATATTGAGGTCAAAAGGGTCCAAAATTTAACTTTGTTTGATTTCATCAAAAATTGAATTATTGGGGTTCTTTGATATGCCAAATCTAACCGTGTATTTAGATTTTTAATTTTGGGTCCCGTTTTTAAATTGGTCTACATTAAGGTCCAAAGGGTCCAAAATTAAACTTAGTTTGATTTTAACAAAAATTGAATATATGGGGTTCTTTGATATGCTGAATCTAAACATGTGTTTAGATTTTTGATTATGGGCCCAGTTTTCAAGTTGGTCCAAGTTGGGGTCCAAAATTAAACTTTGTTTGATTTCAACAAAAATTGAATATATGGGGTTCTTTGATATGCTGAATCTAAACATGTATTTAGATTTTAGATTTTTGGCCCAGTTTTCAAGTTGGTCCAAATTGGGGTCCAAAATTAAACTTTGTTTGATTTCAACAAAAATTGAATATATGGGGTTCTTTGATATGCTGAATCTTACCATGTATTTAGATTTTTTATTTTGTGGGCCCGCTATCAAATTGGTTCATATTGAGGTCAAAAGGGTCCAAAATTAACTTTGTTTGATTTCATCAAAAATTGAATAATTGGGGTTCTTTGATATGCCAAATCTAACCGTGTTTTTAGATTTTTAATTTTGGGTCCCGTTTTTTAAATTGGTCTACATTAAGGTCCAAAGGGTCCAAAATTAAACTTACGGTAGTTTGATTTTTAACAAAAATTGAATTTTTGGGGTTCTTTGATATGCTGAATCTAAATATGTGTTTAGATTTTTGATTATGGGACCAGTTTTCAAGTTGGTCCAAGTTGGGGTCCAAAATTAAACTTTTTTTGATTTCAACAAAAATTGAATATATGGGGTTCTTTGATATGCTGAATCTAAACATGTATTTAGATTTTAGATTTTTGGCCCAGTTTTCAAGTTGGTCCAAATTGGGGTCCAAAATTAAACTTTGTTTGATTTCAACAAAAATTGAATATATGGGGTTCTTTGATATGCTGAATCTTACCATGTATTTAGATTTTTATACGACCGCAAAAAATTTTTGCGGTCGTATATTGGTATGACGTTGGCGTCGTCGTCGTCTGGCATCGTCCGGCGTCGTCCGAAGACACATTGGTTTTCGCACTCTAACTTTAGTTTAAGTGTATGGATCTCTATGAAATTTTACCATAAGGTTCAATACCACAAAAGGAAGGTTGGGATTGATTTTGGGGGTTATGGTACCAACAGTTAAGGAATTAGGGGCCAAAAAGGGGCCAAAAATAAGCATTTTTGTAACTTCCAGACATAACTTGTGTGTTAGTGTATGGATCTCTCTGACATTGTACCACAAGGTTCCATATCACACAGGGAATGCTGGGATTAATTTTGGGGGTATTGCCTCAAAATATTAGGAATTAGGGGCCAAAAAAGGGGCAAAAAACAAGCATTTTTTTAGTTTCATGACAATAACTTGTGTGTAAGTGTATGGATCTTTCTGAAATTGTACTACAAGGTTCCATATCACAAAGGGAAAACTGGAATTGAGTTTGGGGGTAATTGCCCAAAACGTTTAGGAATAAGGGGCCAAAAAGGGGCCAAAAATAAGCATTTTTCTAGTTTCCAGACAATAACTTGTGTTCAAGTGTATGGATCTCTCTGAAATTGTACCACAAGGTTCCATATCACACAGGGAATGCTGGGATTGATTTTGGGGGTAATTGCCCAAAATGTTTAGGAATAAGGGGCCAAAAATAAGCATTTTTCTAGTTTCCAGACAATAACTTGTGTTCCAGTGTATGGATCTCTCTGAAATTGTACTGCAAGGTACCATACCACAAAGGGAAGGCTGGGATTGAGTTTGGGGGTGATGAATCATAAGGGGGTTCAAAAAATTTTTTTTTGGGGGGGGGGGGGGTTTTTCCTTTTTTTTTCTTTTAAAATTTTCCATTTTAAGTTGGTTATTTCTGTTTTATATTTAAAAGCAAATAATAACGATATGGTAGGAGATACACACCAAACAGGATGTGTAAATTATTATAAAATAAGTATTGTGCAATAGCAAGAAATTTTCAATTGCACAGTATTGCACAATAGCAAGAAATCTTCAATTGCACAGTATTGCGCAATAGCAAGAAATCTTCAATTGCACAGTATTGTGCAATAGCAAGAAATATCCAATAGCACAATATTGCGCAATAGCAAGAAATTGTCAATTGTACAGTATTGCGCAATAGCAAAAAATATTCAATTGCACAGTATTGTACAAAAGAACATACTTCGTATAAATTGCTTATTTCTTGACCAATTTCAATGGGGTTTTATTCTTGAATTCTTGGGGTTCTTTAATATGCTGATTCTAACCGTGTATTAAGTTTTTGGATTTTGGGCCCCGTTTTTAAATTGGTCCACATTGAGGTCCAAAGGGTCCAAAATTAAACTTTGTTTGATTTCATCAAAAATTGAATTATTGGGGTTCTTTGATATGCCGAATCTAACCGTATGTTTAGATTCTTAATTTTTGGTTCTGTTTTCAAATTGGTCTACATTAAGGTCCAAAAGGTCCAAAATTAAACTTAGTTTTATTTTAACAAAAATTGAATTCTTAGGATTCTTTGATATGCTGAATCTAAACATGTATTTAGATTTTTGATTATGGGCCCAGTTTTCAAGTTGCTCCAAATTGGGGTCCAAAATTAAACTTTGTTTGATTTCAACAAAAATTGAATATATGGGGTTCTTTGATCTGCTGAATCTAACCATGTATTTAGATTTTTTGATTTTTGGGCCCCATTATCAACTTTGTCCACATTGAGGTCAAAAGGGTCCAAAATTAAACTTTGTTTGATTTCATCAAAAATTGAATTCTTGGGGTTCTTTGATATGCTGAATCTAACCATGTATTTAGATTTTGGATATTGGACCATAATAGTTGAATGTCCAATTTAAAATTTTTAAGTTCTTAGACCACATTCATTCTGTGTCAGAAACCTATGCTGTGTCAAATATTTAATCACAATCCAAATTCAGAGCTGTATCAAGCTTGAATGTTGTGTCCATACTTGCCCCAACTGTTCAGGGTTCAACCTCTGCGGTCGTATCAAGCTGCGCCCTGCGGAGCATTTTATTTATTTTGTGGGCCCGCTATCAAATTGGTTCATATTGAGGTCAAAAGGGTCCAAAATTAAACTTTGTTTGATTTCATCAAAAATTGAATTATTGAGGTTCTTTGATATGCCAAATCTAACCGTGTTTTTAGATTTTTAATTTTGGGTCCCGTTTTTTAAATTGGTCTACATTAAGGTCCAAAGGGTCCAAAATTAAACTTAGTTTGATTTTAACAAAAATTGAATTCTTGGGGTACTTTGATATGCTGAATCTAAACATGTGTTTAGATTTTTGATTATGGGACCAGTTTTCAAGTTTGTCCAAGTTAGGGTCCAAAATTAAACTTTGTTTGATTTCAACAAAAATTGAATATATGGGGTTCTTTGATATGCTGAATCTAACCATGTATTTTGATTTTGGACATTGGACCATAATAGGTAAATTAAAAAAATTGAAGTTCTTAGACCACATTCTTTCTGTGTCAGAAACCTATGCTGTGTCAAATATTTAATCACAATCCAAATTCAGAGCTGTATCAAGCTTAAATGTTGTGTCCATACTTGCCCCAACTGTTCAGGGTTCGACCTCTGCGGTCGTATCAAGCTGCGCCCAGCGAAGCATTTTATTATCTTTGTCGTTATCAGTTATAATGGACTTGAATACCTTAAGAACATGACGAAACTAAGATATTGATCGTGCATATGAATAGTTCTCTTTAAAAAAAAGCTGTGATAGAAAAAAATAGATAAATATCATGGCTTTTTTTTTTGGCAACAGCAGATTTGATGAATGATTGTTACTTTTCACGAGTTGGGTTGGGGGGGTCATGATTTCAGTCCCGATTGGTGACAGTTCTAACTGGTTGTTACCTTATTGGCTAGCATGTTAAACTCTTTCTCACGGTCTTGGTTATATTAGCTTCTCATTGACACATTGTCATTCCATTGGACATAAAGCATCCGTCAATGAATCAAGCATTCAAATTAGCGTCCAACAGTGCATCTATGAAACATACAGAAAGCGATGAGTACATGACAATTTTCAAACATAGGAATCAAAATTTGCAGCGGCAAAGGGCAATCTTTGTTCAGTGATAAATGATCAGATAATCCAATCAATAAGTCTAAGATCAGATGTTATAATGACAACTTACATTTTGTTCCCTTTTTATAGGCTATTACTTTTCCAAATTAATAACATAGCAAATTCATAACAAATAGATCACCAATTACAACAACTGTCAATTCAGAAATTATTTCAATGTTTTTAGTATTCCAAAAATATCAACGAGGTAAGTTTCTTGAAAAGGAAAACTCACATTTTATATATATTAATAGCATTATTTGTATTCAGCATTTATATCTATATTTATATTATGGCGAACCCTATGAAAGTTTTCCACAGTGCCATCTCTGTCTTGACCAGGTATTTAAACTTTTGTAAGTTCACCTGTCCTATTGAATAAATACAATAGCTATTGTTCTCCATGTAGTTTTTTCACTGGGACCTTTAAATTTCTTCTAAGAGAAATCTATCACTCATTGATTAATTTACCTGAGTAAAAAAAAAATCTTGTAAACAGAGGAAAATAGATATAGGAAGATGTGGTATGAGTGCCAATGAGACAACTCTCCATCCAAGTTTTAGGGAGCTACCATTTGATTTTTATGGGGGGGGGAGGACTACTCAAAACTGCATGTGATGTTATATTTATTCAATATTGATAATATATTTTCAATCGGTTGAATGTAAACAGTGATGTAAAGTTGAAACATTAATAAAATATAAAAAAGAAGATGTGGTATGATTGCCAAAAGACAACTCTCCACAAGAGACCAAATGACACAGAAATTAACAACTATAGGTCACCGTACGGCCTTCAACAATGAGCAAAGCCCATACCGCACAGTCAGCTATAAAAGGCCACGAAATGACAATGTAAAACATTTCAAACGAGAAAACTAACGGCCTAATTTATGTACAAAAAAAATGAACGAAAAAACAAATATGTAACTCATAAACAAACGACAACCACTGAATTACAGGCTCCTGACTTGGGACAGGCACATACATACAGAATGTGGCGGGGTTAAACATGTTAGCGTTGATTTATGTTATATTAATAATATATTAATAATATATTTTCATTCAGTTTAATATAAACATTGATTTAATCATAAAAAGTTGATTTCTGACAAAACTTTCAACATTGTTCCTTTTAAAAAAAAAATTGTTTGACATGAATAAAAACTTGAAAATTATGATGTTCAAATTAAGATCTTCTTAAATGTATTCTATAACTAGACAAAAAAAAATCAAATTTCAATAGGAACATTGATAAAACTTTTGTTTGAAATCAACTTTTTATGATTGAATCAATGTTTATATTAAACTGAATGAAAATATATTATTAATATTGAATAAATACATCATCACATGCAGTTAATGAGTATAAAAAAAGTATTTTTGTCTATATATAAGAAAATTTTTTTACTCAGGTAAATTAATCAATGAGTGATAGATTTCTCTTAGAAGAAATTTAAAGGTCCCAGTGAATAAACTACACAGAGAAAAAAAGCTATTGTATTCATTCAATAGGACAGGTGAACTTACAAAAGTTTAAATACCTGGTCAAGATAGAGATGGCGCTGTGGAAAACTTTCATTGGGTTCGATATAATTGTAAAGGAAATACAACATATCCCGAGTTTGACTTGCTTTACCTGTGTTGATTTAAATTTTGGACAATCAGCTGTCCAATTTAAAGAATACAATAGGTATTGTTCTAAGTGGAGTTTATTTACTGGAACCTTTTTTTTCGAAAGAGAAATTGATCACTCATTGATTTATTTACCTGAAGGAAAAAATTATCTATAAAAATAGATGAAAATACATGTCTCAACTCACAAAACTCCATTCACAATTCTATGTGATGTTGTTTTTATTCAATATCAATTATACATTTTCAATCTGTTCAGTATAAATGCATGGGAGAAACTAAATATCAAAGTTGTTCAGCACTATAAGATGTACAAATGAGTCTACTTGGCCAAAATTGTCAACTGACTCCTTATAGGAGTTATTGCCCCAAAAAAAAAATTTTCATCCATGTTATGTATTTTTTTGTAGAAATTTCTGTGGATTCATTTTTTCCTGGGTACCAATTTTCGTGGATTGAAGAAAACTTGCATTTTCATGGATATTTGATTTTGTGGTTTTGCTAAAATCTGCATACATTCCTATAGAAAATTTAAAATCTTTTGAACATTTAAAAATGTGGTTCTCCAGTACCCACAAAAATTGGTATCCAACAAATAATGATAAATCATACAATATATGGCAAAATTTACAGCAAACTAAAATCGGCAAATAAGTCAACATATCAAAATTGTCAATTGACCCTTATTTATTCAAAAGTTGAATTCTTGGATTAGTTATTTTTATAATTATTTATAGCTATGTTTAGAAGTATAGTTTTTTTTTTAACTCGGTATACTTACATTTTATTTTTACAGAGGTGGATCAAGAAACTGGGGTTGGGCTTCAGGTGGTTGTTCTATTTTGGCAGAATTTGGATCCTTTCATTTAGAATTTGTTTATCTATCTGAAATAACTGGAAATCCAGTTTACAGAGAGAAGGTAAGAAATTCCTGATAAAAGATGAAGAGAAGTTTTTATATAAAAATAAAGAGATCTTCATTCCCCGTAGCCAGGGGGTTTGAGGGGTTCAGAAGAACCTGCAGAGACATCCTAGCTACAGGCCTGATATGCATGATTGCCAATAAGACCTTCCATCCAGTTTCAGTACCATGAATGTCTAAAATTCCACAATGAATAAGATTTAAACATGGTTGATATTAACATTTGAATTTCAATCAACTTTTTTCATGTGAAAATCTGTCATGCAACTCACATAAGCATTAAAGTATATATGACCTCTGACCATATCTGAAGAAAGAGTCATACTATGAAAACTGCTATTTAGAATTATCTAAAAATGTTACTTGTGTTTTCTATCTAGAAATGGCCTTGTGCAAGTCACATATATGTTAATCTATAAATGTGGGATTTACAATTTTTGTCATTATTTTTTTGTGTTTTTGTTTATGGTAATATTTTAGATTTGATATAATCTTTGTTTGTGCTCCAGGTTAATAAGATAAGAGAAGTATTGAACCAGTTAGAAAAACCTGATGGACTGTATCCAAACTACCTGAATCCTAAAACAGGTAGATGGGGCCAACGTAAGTATATCTTTTGATCTGTTTAAAATAAAACATAAAAGTAGATAATAACTATAAATCTATATAAAAATAAGGAGATGTGGTATGATTGCCAATGAGACAACTATCCACTAGAATTTAAATGACGTGGATATAAGCAATTATAGGTCACACTACAGCCTTCAACAATGATAAAACCCCATACCCTATAGTCAGCTATAAACAGCCCAGACATGAAAAATGTTTAACAATTCAACGAGAAAATGAATGGCCTAATTCATAACAATACAACTTACAAAAAACAAGTATGACAAACATGAACCAACGACAACCACTGAATTACAGGCTCCTGACATAGTTTGAATATGAATATACTTTGTTGATGAACAGTTATCTCTGAACTATATACATTTATGTACAGCTTTAGGATGTTGATCACCTTTATATGGGATCAATGTTAGGCAATATAAGCAGATAAGGGGAAGTGTAACTGAAGAGCTCAGTGAATTACTTACTGTAAATTGGGAATACATGTACTTCACTATGGGTTTTTTGCTTGTAAATTTGCTGTATAAGGAAAATCAGAGACAGGAACAAGATAATCGTGAAAATAACACCCGAAAAACAAATTCTAAATTTGAAATCGTGAAATTTGAACTCAGCGAAAAATAAATAGTTTTACAGTATAATGGATGTATTTGATTTCTATAATATTATTGCTTTATGTGTCAGACCACCAATTCACCCACTACTATTTTGAACATATGTAAAAGTAGCCCTTCCCTGACAAAAAAATAGTGCTTTTGATGTCGTTACTTAAACTAACCAACAAATTTGCAGAAATGAAACTTTTGGTGAAAAAGAAATATTTTAAGACCATTTTGAGCTAAAATTTACTTGTTTATGAGTTAACATTAAAAATTGAAGATTAGTGTGCTCCATAGTATACTTATTTAAGATTTTCAGAAAACCAGGGGTTATTTTTAGTAGTAGTTGCCTTCTAAACGGTCATGTTTCATTACAAGACTTTAAACATTGGTTGAAAATTGGTGTAGAAAGGTGATACATGTACATTCAGGTTATACCTAGTTTCTATGAAGTTAAACTTAAGGTAAAATATTTAGAAAGCTATAGAAATTGAAAAAAAATTGGTTGTATTGATAGGGATTTTGAATGGGTGGTCTGACACCTTTACATTGAGTATTTTGGGAATTTTATTCCATCTATTCAATTTATTCCATTAAAATATTATTATTGAAATAAGCTTTTTGAGTTTTATGTTATGTTTTGCTGTTCTTTTTTTCGTGGAAAGATGAAATCATAAATAAAAAACATGATCATTTTTTTTTTGTAGAACATGTTGCTATAGGAGCACTTGGAGACAGTTTTTATGAATATTTAATAAAGTCATATGTACAGTCTGGAAACAAAGATGAACTTGCAAAGAAAATGTACTTTGATGCAGTTCAGGTAGGCATTAACAATCAAAATATTTGCTCATTTATTCACGAAGTCACTGTCCTGCTCTTGTGCTTGTTGAGCCTTTCTTAATGTCTCATTAATAAAAACAAGAGTGCACATGCTGAAATGTCTCACCTTCTTTACTAACCATTGATTTTATGTTGAGAGTCCTAAATACAAAGCTTTACTACCAGTAACACATAAACTTAACATGATCCAAGAAAATGAGGTCAAGGTCAGATAAACCAAACGAGAAATACATGTACACCTTACAATCATTCAATAAACCAAACATACTTGACATATTGCTTATTGTTTCTAAGAAACAATCTTAACCATGAAAACTTAACATTGACCAATGAACCATGAAAATGAGGTCAAGGTCAGATGGTACCTGCCAGACAGACATATACACCTTACAATCCTTCCATACATCAAATATAGTTGATCTATTGCTTATAGTTGAAGAATAACAGACCAAAACACAAAAACTTAACACTGAGAAATGAACCGTGAAAATGAGGTCAAGGTCAAATAAAACCTGTGAGACTGACATGTACATCATAGAATATTTCCATACAGCATTTATAGTTGACCTATTGCATATAGTATTAGACGTAAAGACAAAAACTCAGAAGCTTAATTTTGACCACTGAACCATGAAAATGAGGTCAAGGTCAGATGACACCTACCAGTTGGACATGTACACCTTACAATCATTCCATATACCAAATATAGTAGTCCTACTGCTTATAGTATCTGATATATGGACTTGACCACGAAAACTTAACCTTGTTCACTGATCCATGAAATGAGGTTGAGGTCAAATGAAAATTGTCTGACGGGCATGAGGACCTTGCAAGGTACGCACATACTAAATATAGTTATCCTATTACTCATAATAAGAAAGAAATTAACATTACAAAAAATTTTAACTTTTTTTTCAAGTAGTCACTGAACCATGAAAATGAGGTCAAGGACAATGGACATATGACAGACGGAAACTTCGTAACATAAGGCATCTATATACAAAGTATGTAGCATCCAGGTCTTCTAGCTTCTAAAATATAAAGCTTTTAAGAAGTTAGCTAACGCCGCCGCCGCCGGATCACTATCCCTATGTCGAGCTTTCTGCGACAAAAGTCGCAGACTCGACAAAACCATCCATTTATTTTATTTTTGGAAACTTCTTTGTATGATGCTTTTATTTTCATGAATACATATCTTCTATAAAAAAGATTTTTTCAATTTTACTTATTCTGTATTTGGCTTGTACAAGAAAGTCAGCGGTGAAAGTTCTATTACAGTATAAAATATATGGATTCCATTTTGGAAAAGACAATTAAAAACAATGCGTAAAAGATGTCATGGTTAGTTTAGTTGTTAAATAGAAGTCTTAAAAAACATTCAACAATTGTATTCTTGGCTTTTTTTCAGGCCATGGAGAAAAAAATGTTACAAAAATCTAAAAGTGGAATGGTATACTTAGCAGAATATAAATCAGGAAGACTAGAGCATAAAATGGACCATTTAGGATGTTTCTGTGGTATAGTTGTTTATCATTTTATGTATTTAAAAATATATAGAAAACTGGTGTATTTGAATTTATTAAACAGTTTGTATACCTCAAGCATCCTTTTCTCAAACCTGGAAGGTAAAAAACTACATAAGATATTTATAGTTAAGTATACAAGCATGCTGAATTCACTAAGATATGTAGAAATATAAATATTTTATGTTTTTTCTTGCCTTGATGAAGGTTCTAAAGCAAACTTAGGTGTGCTGTTTCCAGCAGGGGTGTCAACAATGTATTAATTTGTGATCAGTTTAAGTGAAACCACTAGTGGTTGGTCAATGATATTTGATATGCAGTTGTATTCGCATTGGTACTTATTTCAATGGACATTATTATCTCCCTCCAACTCAGTCGTGGTCTATTCATTTGCATAAGTTAAATAAAATGTTTTTGATTAGATCAGTTTAAGAGGAATCACTTATGGTAAGTCATTAATATTTGGAATGCAGTTGTATTAGCATTTGCACGTCTCATTTCCATGGAGAATATATGACCCAGCCCCCTCATCATGGTTCATGGACTTTTTAAACTTTTGTATAGTTTACATGATAAAGTTTATGTTTAGGTCTGTTTACGGGGAACCACTTCTGATAAGTCAATGGTATTTGATTTGTAGTTATCGTATTAGCATTGGCATTTTTCATTTCCACTGAGATTTTATATCACTGTACCTTCAGTTATTGTTCATTGACTTCAAATGTTTTACATGTTTTAGTATTGCCATTTTAATTTCAACATTTGCATTTTACTATCAAAAAAAACATACAGATGAGACATATATCTATGTCAACAGTTTATTGATATTAGAGTGTGTCTTTGATATTTTAAAACTTGTATGTAATAAAATTTATTTTCAGGTGGTATGTTTGCTTTGGGGGCTAAACATTCAGATGATAAAGCAAAATACATGAAACTAGGAGCAGATATAGCACACACCTGTCATGAGTCTTACGATAGATCAGGTATGTATAAATACTGTTTTTAAAATATTTAAGGTTTGAGCAGTACATATGTAATAATTTTCACTGTTTCAAAAAAATTCCATAAAATAGTACTCTTGATAAATTGTAAGCATGCAATTTGTAATATTTTAAAGGGGCATTAGCTGTCAAATTCATGTTCACCAATTTGACTCAAATTCTCATATTTGATTTATAACATACTAAAACGTATATCAAATTACAAAAAGTCTAAAATAGACAATTAACAATGCATGGGCTCGATAATATGTATCAACATTTTGTGTGTATTTTTGTCTAGACGCCATCTAATTAACCATTGAGATGACCTCCCAAGACTGCTGACTTTTTATTTATTGTATTTCATGGGTACAGGATAACAACAAATTTAAATGTCCAATGAAATACTCCATTTCTATAGGCTTGTATGCAGACTTTGGCAAAACAAGGAAATTAAATATCCAACTTTTCCTCCTTTTCAAGAAAATTGGTCCAATTAGATACCAAGCCATTAGAACAATTTCATGTATCATATAATAGTAAAACAAACTCAAGTTACATTGTAAACAAACTTTAATTTTCTATATTTATCTTATCTATTTATAACTCTGTATTGCTACTTTCACTTTTCATTGTTTCTCTCACCATGACGACGTCAAATTTCATGCACCACTTTGAGTACTTCAGGGATTAAATTCTGTATAAAAATTGTCCTGATGAAGCCTGCCTTGCAGGCGAAACATGTAGACATAGATAATAAAATTGCAGATCTTTTGAAGTGTTGTTGTCAATTTTAATTATTACAAAAAATAAATGATTCAGCAATATGCTCACAAATTTGAATATTGTTTGACTGTAGTAGAAATAGTATATTGCTATCATATCACTTCAAAATCTTAAAACTTGTAATGTGTTGTGTGTCACATATGCATATGCTACTTTTTCGAAGTATACTTCTCTTGAGAAAGATAGTCTATTAAAGTATGGAAGGATTTAGAAAAAATATTAAAAAGGCATGATATGAAAAACTTGAAAGAAAATATTAATAGTTTTCTCAAGTGATGTCTATAAAAAATAAAGACAGAGCTACCAAGGGGACAATCAAAAATCAGAAGTTGAAGAAAAACAAACCAATAAAAATGAAAAACTAAGAAAAGACATACAACAGTCTACTAAACACTACTTAGAAAACTAAAAAATGAACAATTTTTAATTCCAAAAACGGGTGATCTTAGGTGCTGTGGAAGGTTAACAGATCCTATTCCTCATGATGCACCCATCTATGAGACAGGTAAATTTTGATTTACAAGTCATTTGGTACCTAGATATTTATTTATTCAAATAGATATTTATTTAGGATAATTTATGATAAAGATTGTTTTTATATCTAAACTCTTGTAAAGTCTGACGATGTTATTTATTTCCAGCTACAAAACTAGGACCAGAAGCATTTAGATTTGATGGACAGACAGAAGCCAAATCTATTAGACAGAATGAGAAATATTATATATTAAGACCAGAAGTATTAGAAACTCACTTTTATATGTGGAGATTTACAAAAGAACAAAAATACAGAGATTGGGCATGGGAGGCTGTAAATGTAAGCATAGATACATATAGCTCTATATAGTCATATTTCTTGCCAGGATAAGTATAAAGATATGCAAAATCATGTCTCAATTTCATAAAAAAAGCAACAGAAGAGACAGCAACAACCATTGATTTATCAATATATTTTTTACATGATTCTTCAAATAAAAAGGAGTCACTCATTGTAGTACAAAAACAATCCAAAAGGAAACATGGAAAATCTACTGAACAGTGTTCATGAAAACAATGGCTGTAGCACTGAATTAGATGATTTAAAGATGCTTGCATGACATAATCATTGTTATATCACAAGAATAAAATGTGATATTGTCACTTGCACCTGTTGTTAGATATCCATATTCATGTTAAATATATAAGTAGATTTGTATCTACCCTCTACAAAGTAATGAAGGGGAGACTAAGGTTTGCTGTTTCTGGTAGTGTTGGCGGTGCAACATTTTGAAGTTTGTGACAAGGTCAGTTTAAGTGTAACCACTATGATAAGTCAATGGTATTTGGTATGCAGTTGTAGTAAAATTGGTACATCTCATTTCCAACAAGATTAGTTGGTCTTGCCCTTCAATCATGGTCTATTGACTTTGAAACTTTTGCTCAGTTTAAATGTTAAAGTTTCTGATTAGGTCAGTTTAAGGGGAACCACTAATGGTAAGTCAATGATATTTGGTATGCAGTTGTATCAGCTTTGGCACATTGAGATTCCGTGGCCTTGCCCCTTCAGTCATTGTTCATTGACTTGGATTGAATTTTTTTGCATAGTTAACATTTAAAGTTTTGCTATTTTAATATCAACTATTTGCATTTTACTATCAAAATTACATGCAGGCGAAAAATACTGGTATCTCTGTGTGACCAGTTTATATACTGGTATCTCTGTGTGAACAGTTAATATACTGGTATCTCTGTGTGAACAGTTAATATACTGGTATCTCTGTGAGAACAGTTTATTTCAATTGATTACAGTGCTCAGGCTTTCATTAAACATTTCACATTTGAACTGCCTCCATGGTCTTGTGGTACATGTTTGCCTCAAATGCGGGAGGTAGTGGTTTTGAACCACAGCCAGGTCAAACCAAAGACTATAAGATAGGTCTTTGCTGCTTCTCCACTAAGCACACAGCATTAAGGAGTAAGATCAAAGACCAGTCAGCTAGGAGTCAGAATAATGTGTCTGGGTAGGTTGACATGTCTTCCTATAGATTTTTACCTTGTGTACTAGTATGTTAAAAATCCTTCTCAGTGTGTGGGTCTAGAACAAAGCAGGGTTAATATTCATATTACATTAACATGTTGTCCTGAATATGCATTTAATTTGCACCCGGATATTCAGTAGCCAATCATCATTATCATCATTTTTACATTTTCATGACCCAGTCACAAAATCTAAAAATATAAATTCAATGACTTTAGTAATAAAAACATATATTAAACTGCTAAATGGTATGTCTTTTAACCTTTGTGGAAATTTCTTATAATCCAGCAATGTTTTTACAGGCATTAAACAAGCATTGTAAAGTTGATGGTGGATTTACAGGAATAAGAGATGTCTATCAGGAACATGGATCACAGGATGACGTGCAGCAAAGTTTCTTTTTAGCAGAAACTTTAAAATATTTATATCTGACATTCTCAGAAGATACAGTTATACCATTAGATAAATGGGTATTTAATACAGAAGCCCATCCATTTCCCATACAGGGAGCAAATACTGTAAAGGAAATAGAATCGTGAAAAGAAAAATAAGATGATTAGGTTTTAACTAATTTATGAAAAGAAGGTAATTGTCTCTGTTCAGGTCCATATGTTACATTGATATTGAGAAAAAAACATGATTAAACCCTTATTTCTATTTAATAAAATTACCCTAGTTTGAATTTTATGACAGGCGAAAACATTATTTGATTATTTGTTTTCTGATTATGATAACATAATTTTACAAGATAGAAATATACTAACTATAAATTCAGAAATTAACTGGGTGATTTTATAAATGGAAATTTTTTTTTGACAGAATAAACATAACTGTTAAAATGCATATTTTATAATTTTTTGATAGTAGGGAATGTTTATGAATTACATAAATACATCTTGTGTAATGAACTACTATCAAAATAGTGTTAACAAATTAATCCATTGAATTTCTAGATTTACAACATTGATACACATAAATATCAGGCATGGGCTGTTCCCAAATTAATCAACGTGTTGGGACAGGAGGTACTCAAATATTAAATTGTGGGTGGTTGTGGTTTCCTTAATATTTTGTAAGGATTATAATTAAAATTACAAATTTTATATTATTTGTGGTAAGGGTCTAAAAAACTGCCTCCTTTGCCCACCATGCATTTAATTTTGGAACAGCCTTAATTAATTTTTGTCCTTAGAAAATGCTATAGGAAAATTTATTTCAGTAAAGTTTTATAGTACGAGATATCATTTGTATGAATTCATACAAATGAATTATTTATGTTTGTACATTACAATAAATTATAACTTGGCCTTCGGCTGTTGTCTGCTCTTTGGTCGGGTTGTTGTCTCTTTGACACATTCCCCATTTCCATTCTCAATTTTATGTAAATAATTTGTTTTTATCTAAACAGATTTTTAACTATTGGTCTCCAGTAATTTTTTATTTTTTATGAACAAGAGAAGATGGAGTTAGTCTTTTTCTATGAATGATAGAAGGAATCCTTCAGGAAGGAATACAATTTTGCAGAATTTAAATCTCATGATTATTTAGGTTCTATATAAATGAAATATTTGGGGTGGGGGAGCATACCATATATTTTTTTTCTATTCCTCCCATTCATTTTTTTCCTGGTATAGCCATAAACTATTAACCTGTTTCATTATCAAATTTAAATGTTCTGAATGATCTTTTCTTTTTATAAATTTGATACAAACATACAAACTATGTACAAAACTAGATATTTCTGTTAATAAACACTCGTTGATCCTGCATAGCAGTGATATGAATAGAAAGAAATAATTTAGTATGTTGTGTATATTTATGTGTTATTTATGTTTGTACATTACTATAAATTATTACTTGAAACAAATTATTTTTGCATGATTGTTCTGTATTTGTAGTATGAACAAAACTTGGTTTCTCATAAAAATCATGATTTTTATCGTATATTGGTATGACGTTGGCGTCGTTGTCGACGTACGAAGACACATTGGTTTTCGCACTCTAACTTTAGTTTAAGTGAATGGATCTCTATGAAATTTTACCATAAGGTTCAATACCACAAAAGGAAGGTGGGGATTGATTTTGGGGGTTATGGTACCAACAGTTAAGGAAAAAGGGGCCAAAAATAAGCATTTTTGTAACTTCCAGACATAACTTGTGTGTTAGTGTATGGATCTCTCTGACATTGTACCACAAGGTTCCATATCACAAAGGGAATGCTTGGAATTATTTTGGGGGTAATTGCCTCAAAATTTTAGGAATTAAGGGCAAAAAAAGGGGCAAAAAACAAGCATTTTTATAATTTCAGGACAATAACTTGTGTGTAAGTGTATGGATCTTTCTCAAATTGTACTACAAGTTCCATATCACAAAGGGAAAGCTGGAATTGAGTTTGGGGGTAATTGCCCAAAACGTTTAGGAATAAGGGGCCAAAAGTAAGCATTTTTCTAGTTTCCAGATAATAACTTGTGTTCAAGTGTATTGATCTCTCTGAAATTGTACTGCAAGGTACCATACCACTAAGGGAAGGCTGGGATTGATTTTGGGGGTAATTGCCTCAAAATTTTAGGAATTAGGGGGCAAAAAGGGGCAAAAAACAAGCATTTTTCTAGTTTCAGGACAATAACTTGTGTGTGAGTGTATGGATCTTTATGAAATTGTACTACGTGGTTCCATATCACAAAGGGAAAGCTGGGTTTGAGTTTGGGGGTAATTGCCCTAAACTTTTAGGAATTTGGGGCCAAAAAGGGGCCAAAGAACAAGCATTTTTCTAGTTTCCAGACAATAACTTGTGTTCAAGTGTATGGATCTCTCTGAAATTGTACTGCAAGATACCATACCACAAAGGGAAGGCTGGGATTGAGTTTGGGGGTGATGAATCATACGGGGGTTCAAAAAATTTCAGGGGAGGGGGGGATTTTTTTACCTCCTTTTGTTCCTTTTTTTTTCTTTAAAATTTTCCATTTTTAATTGGTTATTTCTGATTTATATATAAAAGCAAATATTAATGATATGGCTTCAATTGGTAAATTAAAATTTTTAAAGTTCTTAGACCACATTCAATCTGTGTCAGAAACCTATGCTGTGTCAAATATTTAATCACAATCCAAATTCAGTGCTGTATCAAGCTTGAATGTTGTGTCCATACTTGCCCCAACTGTTCAGGGTGTGACCTCTGCAGTCGTATCAAGCTGCGCTCAGCGGAGCATTTTATTTTAAAACGTAATTACTACATGTGAAATATTGTGTCATTAAAGATATTACAGTAGGTAGTTTGAAGAGTTGCCACCATCAATTTGGGATTTGACAATTGCAAATGCTAAACTTTGCCACAGTAGCAGAAATTTTTGAACATCAAATCGCAAATTGATGGTGTCAACTTTTCAAACGCATTAATGCTATTCATATTCTAACGCAATACTAGTAAAATATTCAAATTAAAACATATGCATTATCCCAGAAATGCTGACTACAACTGTGCAATGTTGTTACCAATAATTTTGAATGTCATCCAGTCAAAAGTAGCGTTACATATCATGTTGCATTAGACTTACTCACATGATGACATCATTTTTCAAGTCATGTACTTTATATATTTTTTTATTCTTTGTGTGTATGAGGTAGTTTTGTTTTTCATTTGCTCTAGGTATGCTCATGATAATCATAAACACAAATTGTATAACTTCATTCCATTGATATAATGAAAAAATCTTTGTAATTATTGTTACTATGTTTATGACTTGTCACTATGTGGCTTTTCCAGACAGTTTTACCCATGTCATTTAATAGCATTGTAAGCAAATTTGTTTTTTCTTGCATTATATTCTGTATTTTACCGATAAATAGACTTAGTTTTTGATGGTCAATATTAAACATTTACAATGACTGGGAACAGTTGCAGGCAAGACACTGGGTTCCATGGAACCCTTTACAAATTTTTATTTGATAGTACATTTTGTACTTCTTTATTTACAGACAGAATCTGATATTTTGAAACATTGGTTGATATTTTACATTTTTTCAAAGCCTTCATTCACAACGCTATCAATTTTGATGTTGTCTTGTAAAATTCAACATAAAAATACTCTACTTTTATTTATAAGTCAAATGAAGAGATGCAGTATAATCATCATATTAGTTATGTAACAATAGATTTGAATAAGTGCCAAACCTTTCAACTTGTAAATAAACCTTTTATTTTCATGTTGGCCTTTCCAGAAATAAACAAACGAGGAAGGAGTACTCAAATAAGAACGATATGGATGCTTGGGGGATGTGTGGTTTGAAATATTAGAAGATTATGAAACAATCAACAAAAGCTGGTAACATTCCTGATAATCCATTCAATGAGTTCTATCTCATTTACACAAACCAGCCGTGATTATATCATCTGCAATGTAATTTCAATAATTTCAACATACAGGAAGTGCATCTTAGCAGAGTAAGCGATCAAAACAGAAAAGTTGTCTAATATTTTAATTGAAAATCTATTAGCAACATTCCATTTCCTTGACTGTCCTTTGAGAAAGATCATATAGATGCTTAGAAAAATGTCATGTGATACGACTTTTTCAACCTCTACGTTGAAATGACCACCATCTTGAAAATCTCCTTTTGCTACTAATTTGAGGTCTGTGGAATGTGCCTCCTGACCTTCACCATCCCCTTGTATATTGTTTCTGGAATTGCACTAATTTAGTTATAACAGCTTTCCATTCATTGTAAACACTGTGTGTTCTTTCAAGTGTTTGATATATAAAAGGATGTTATTTGTAAATTTGACCTGTATTTTTTTTATCAAGGTTAACTTTTAATGTGCCGACTGAAGACTACTGCGGTTGAAATAAATGTATGGAACCAACACAGTCTCTATTATATTTATAAAATTGCAGTAACTATTTCATCATTGTTGTAAAAGTCATATCATTTATATAAGCTGTGTGTCATATTTTAATATTCTTTGAATGTTAAATTTTGTAATATTTGCTATTATAGGTGGAATTTCTACACCTACATTATTCTGATTTAGTAATTGGTTTTACAAAATTTTCTAAGCATGTGATTTCTTGATATTTTTTATTCTAAGTGGCCAGGATATATATAGAGTAACTAATGTCTATTCTTCGATTATTTTGAAATCCAACAGACCTTTTTTTTTTTACTACGTCTGTAGACACCCCCAATAATGAGCTGAAGTTTGGTAAATGAGTATATAATTGTAAGTTATACAGATTGTGGTGTGTTTTGTTTCTGGTGATTTCCTTTTCATGAAATAATGGCTTATAGACTAAGAAAATTTCATGAAAATTGTAATTGGCAGCAGGCGAGGGCATTCATGTTGTCAAAACACATCTAGCTAGAATTAAACGACTTTCCCTTTACTTAGTATATAATCAGATTCTTTTCTGGGGTTTATTTTTTATACGGTTGTCTCATCAATTCATTTCACTGGCAGAAGAGCCACTTACTGTTTTCATTCACTTTTTGTCTTGATATTTTTGTTCACTGGATGCACTTGACTGAAGTATGTTTGTGAGTGTACGATTGGAAATGTTTTTATACGACCGCAAAAAAATTTTGTGGTCGTATATTGGTATGACGTTGGCGTCGTCGTCGTCGTCGTCGTCCGGCGTCGTCGTCCGAATACATATTGGTTTTCGCACTCTAACTTTAGTTTAAGTGAATGGATCTTTTTGAAATTTGACCATAAGGTTAAATACCACAAAAGGAAGGTTGGGATTGATTTTGGGGGTTATGGTACCAACAGTTAAGGAATTAGGGGCCAAAAAGGGGCCAAAAATGAGCATTTTCTAGTTTCCAGACAATAACTGTGGAACGGTGTATGGATCTCTCTGAAATTATACTACAAGTTTCCATACCACAAAGGGATGGTTAGGATTTGCTTTGGGGGGTTATGGCTCAAACTGTTTAGGAATTAGGGGCAAAAAAGGGGGAAAAACAAGGTTGTCCTGGTTAATGGACAAATACTTTAGTACAAAACATAATTTAAAGCAGTGTAAGGGAGATAAATCAAATACATCATTGAAATTATCTCCCTTACACTGCTTTTAAATTATGTATAAAGTAATGGTTAATGAACAATAAAGATAATCTAAAACAGTGTAAGGGAGGTAATCCAAATACAACGTTTTGGTTACTTCCCTTACACTGCTTTTAAATTATGTTTAAAGAAATGCATATTTATAAAGGAAGACCAGTAAAAATATCTGCAAATGTTTTCATCTTTTTTTTTTACAAAAAAATCCATATGAAAGATTTGACACTATATTTTTATTAATTCTATTATAAAATAGATTAAGTTAGCACTATGGTAAATTTAAATGGGTAATTATGGTTGCCAACTCCATTGGAAATTTGAATTGAGATTATGACCATATCTTGAGGGAAAGAATTTTTTTGGGGGAAAAGGGGGGGGGGGGGGATAAAAAGAAATTGTGGGGGCCAATTTTTTCTCATTTCAGATTTCAGAAATTAAAAAGAATTATTCTTCAAATATTATTTTTTTTTCAAATTTCAAATATTGAAAAATTTCAAGAAGTAATCTTTAATTGCACAGTATGGCGCATTAGATTTGTAAAATCTTTGATCACATTTATTTATTTGTTATGCCGAATCTAACAGTGTATTTAGATTTTTAATTTTGGGTCCAGTTTTCAAATTGGTCTACATTAATGTCCAAAGGGTCCAAAATTAAACTTTGTTTGATTTTAGCAAAAATTGAATATATGAGGTTCTTTGATATGCTGAATCTAAACATGTATTTAGATTTTTGATTTTTGGCCCAGTTTTCAAGTTGGTCCAAATTGGGGTCCAAAATTAAACTTTGTTTGATTTCAACAAAAATTGAATATATGGGCTTCTTTGATATGCTGAATCTAACCATGTATTTAGATTTTTTATTTGTGGACCCCGTTATCTAATTGGTTCATATTGAGGTCAAAAGGGTCCAAAATTAAACTTTGTTTGATTTCATCTAAAATTGAATTATTGGGGTTCTTTGATATTCCAAATCTAACCGTGTATTTAGGTTTTTAATTTTGGGTCCTGTTTTTTAAATTGGTTTACATTGAGGTCCAAAGGGTCCAAAATTAAACTTAGTTTGATTTTAACAAAAATTGAATTCTTGGGGTTCTTTGATTTGCTGAATCTAAACATGTGTTTAGATTTTTGATTATGGGCCCAGTTTTCAAGTTGGTCCAAGATAGGGTCCAGTATTTAAACTTTGTTTGATTTTAACAAAAATTGAATATATGGGGTTCTTTGATATGCTGAATCTAAACATGTATTTAGATTTTTGATTATGGGCCCAGTTTTCAAGTTGGTCCAAATTGGGGTCCAAAATTAAACTTTGTTTGATTTCAACAAAAATTGAATATATGAGGTTCTTTGATATGCTGAATCTAACCATGTATTTAGATTTTTTATTTGTAGGCCCCGCTATCAAATTGGTTCATATTGAGGTCAAAAGGGTCCAAAATTAAACTTTGTTTGATTTCATCGAAAATTGAATTATTGGGGTTCTTTGATATGCCAAATCTAACCGTGTTTTTAGATTTTTAATTTGGGTCCCGTTTTTTAAATTGGTCTTCATTGAGGTCCAAAGGGTCCAAAATTAAACTTAGTTTGATTTTAACAAAAATTGAATTCTTGGGGTTCTTTGATATGCTGAATCTAAACATGTGTTTAGATTTTTGATTATGGGCCCAGTTTTCAAGTTGGTCCAAGTTGGGGTCCAAAATTAAACTTTTTTTGATTTCAACAAAAATTGAATATATGGGCTTCTTAGATATGCTGAATCTAACCATGAATTTAGAATTTTTATTTGTGGGCCCCGCTATCAAATTGGTTCATATTGAGGTCAAAAGGGTCCAAAATTAAACTTTGTTTGATTTCATCAAAAATTGAATTATTGGGGTTCTTTGATATTCCAAATCTAACCGTGTATTTAGATTTGTAATTTTAAGTCCCGTTTTTTAAATTGGTCTACATTAAGGTCCAAAGGGTCCAAAATTAAACTTAGTTTGATTTTAGCAAAAATTGAATTCTTGGGGTTCTTTGATATGCTGAATCTAAACATGTGTTTAGATTTTTGATTATGGGCCCAGTTTTCAAGTTTGTCCAAGTTGGGGTCCAAAATTAAACTTTGTTTGATTTTAACAAAAATTGAATATATGGGGTTCTTTGATATGCTGAATCTAACCATGTATTTTGATTTTGGACATTGGACCATAATAGGTAAATTAAAAAAATTCAAGTTCTTAGACCACATTCTTTCTGTGTCAGAAACCTATGCTGTGTCAAATATTTAATAACAATCCAAATTCAGAGCTGTATCAAGCTTGAATGTTGTGTCCATACTTGCCCCAACTGTTCAGGGTTCGACCTCTGCGGTCGTATCAAGCTGCGCCCCAGCGAAGCATTTTATTCTATATTGATATTGTGATGTAGTCTATCATCTCCTACCGAGGTCTATATGACCTGTCTTCACGTTTCAACTGTTATTTGTAATTATTGATATTGAAACATGTCTTACTTAACATTAGAATGTTATGTACATTGTAATTGATAAAATAACTCCTGTTGCAATCTGTAACAGATGTGATTAGTTTCATATAAGTGGGTGTATATTTTCATCATAAATACATAGTACAAACTTTAAATATTAGCTTCTGTTGTATGATCTCAAATAGTATGCTGCTAATGGTGACCATTCTAATCTTTTACAAGTCTCACCTTTTTTTATTGAAATATTGCTACTACATGTATTATGAAAAAGGATAAAACATTGAAACCATTAGATTATTCGGGAATACTTTTGCTAATGATTTTCCTCACTATTTTCTACAAAGTTAATGTCCAAAAATAGATATTTTAACAACTTGGTAAGGACCAGGTCCTTTTTTCATTTCCCTTAATGTTTATATAAAACATCCCTGAAAATAATAAAATTATGCCTTATCCATGAAATAGTTGTAGGTTTTCGTTATCTTCAACATATTAAACATATTTCAATAAACCAAATATAAATGAAAAGACTGAATATCATATGTTTCTAAAGATTTGTAAGAAAGCTCTTTTTTCATTAGAATATAAAAGGAAGCAGATAATCGTAAGGAACCACAAATAAAAAAAGTTATCAAAAGAAAAAAACAAACTCTGACTTGTATTTTCTACCACATCTTTTTATAGATATGATCAGAATCAGTGCTTTGGACCTAGAGTGCATAGAGGGGGTAAACGATACCATAATCTTGTTTCAAATGTTTTGCACCGGTTGACATAAAAGGCACTTATAGTTGTGTACTTGTCTGTATATTGCATGTTACTATTTATAGCTTTGCTCAGGTTACTATTGAAGTGCTAAAGTATGCATGTGGAAA